CCCCCCCCCAGTTCCCCTCGGCGTTCTTCCAGGGCCGAGCTGACATGTGCAGCCAGCTGTGCTACGAGATCCTGAAGTGCTGCAACCACCGCTCCAGTTCAACGCAGGTGGAGGCCTCGGCCCTGCTCTACTTCTTCATGCGCAAGAACTTCGACTTCACTAAGGGGAAGTCCATCGTGCGCTCGCACCTGCAGGTGGGCTCCTCTAGGGGGCATCAGGCCTGTTGCGAAAGACTCTTTCCTACTGCTCTTCATCTGGACATAGCCTAGAGGCAGATAAGCTCATCACTGAAAACATTGGTAGCCGTCCACCACATCATATGGTCACATGACTCATGCCTTGTCCGTTTCCTGTGCCTCGCTGTTGTCTGTAGCTCATCAAGGCTGTGAGTCAGCTGATCGCCGACGCCGGGATTGGAGGCTCCCGCTTCCAGCAGTCCCTTGCCATCATCAACAATTTTGCCAACGGGGACTCGCCCCTGAAAGTGAGCGCCCGCCTCACATGGTGCGGCTTAATGTGGCTGCTTGGTTTCTGTACATGGGCTGAATGTGAAGGTCACCATGTGACCAGCCGGCTGATGTCATGCCGTGTCCCTACTGTCCAGAGCACGGCGTTCCCGGCGGAGGTGAAGGACCTGACCAAGCGCATCCGGACAGTCCTCATGGCCACGTCACAGATGAAGGAGCACGAGAAGGACCCAGAGATGCTGGTAGACCTGCAGTATAGCCTGGCCAACTCCTACGCTAGCACGCCGGAGCTGCGGAGAACTTGGCTGGAGAGCATGGCCAAGATCCACGTCCGTAACAGGGACCTCTCTGAGGTGGGTGCCGAATGAGTGCAAACTTGGGGATTAGTGGGGCCCCACACGGAAACTTACACTGGACACTGTGGTATCGGAATTGTGGATGGTTATGGAGAGTCTGTGAAATGCAGTGATTATCCCCAAGAATATATACTATGTGATCAGTCTCTCAGGGACAGCTCCAAAGAAGGTCTATGCAATGGCATTTCTGTACTCTCACTGGGTTGGGGATAATCTCCAGGGCCCCGTGTCGTGTCGTTGGTCAGTGGGGATAATATCGCGTAGTAACTCTTCTTTCTGTCCTTCCCTCTGCCTCGGCCGTTCCACAGGCTGCCATGTGCTACATCCACATCGCTGCTCTGATCGCGGAGTACCTGAAGAGGAGGGGTGAGTGCTTCTCCGCATCCTGAGACCCACAGGAGCCTCCATGCCTGCCAGCTCACTGTGGGTAGTGGGAGGGGGCGTGGCCTTCATGGCTGAGCATCTGGGCCTGGTGAGCCCATTGGCTGACACTCTCCTGCCTTCTCTGATAGTAACAGCAAGTCACACAGGGCTCTGTGTGGGGGGGGGGGGGGGGGGCCTTGTCCCACATGCCCCTGTGCAGGGGGTTCCCAACACACCGGGGGAGTCCCCCTCACACAGACACCCTCCTGCACCCATTTCACAGCTGGAGGTTGATCCTGTCACCTGAGCTCTATGCAGCACCCTTGCATGTGCTTACTGTTGTAAGTTGGGCTGGCTGCCTGGCGCACCGCTGTTGCCGTCGTCTCTGTGGAGCATGCTGGGAGCTGATTGGCTGCTTCGCGAAGCAGACTGCGTTTAAGCACGCGGGTTTACATTGTTGCACTCCCTGCCTCGACACAGGTTACTGGAAGGCAGACAGGACCAGGGGATCCAGTGTGTTCACAGAGGATGCAAATGTTATTAACTGTAGCCCCTTACTAACATCCCGAGAAGGAGAAAGTGAGTTCCCTCATCAGTCGCCTTCATGCAGACACCGGCTCAGGGTTCAAGGAGTGGGGCAGCTGTGGGGACGACCCGGCTTGTACATCAGCACTGCATAGTGTACTCTGGCCAGCAGGGGGCACTGTCACAGAGAGAATGCATTTGTAACGCAATATTTGCTGGTTGTTTTGTTCGGTCTTGTTGTACCCTTGAGCCAAATTCTTCACCTCATTTGCCAGGAGTAAAAGCGAATCGGTTTGTGGGAAGGCACATCCTCCAGTGGTGATGTCATAGATGATGTGGTGCTGTTGTGATGCAGCATATTTTTTTAACAGTGCAGCCCGCTGTCTGCTGTATGTATGTGAAACCATTGCAGTGGAGTTGTTATTGTGGTAAACACATCACCATGCAGGTGTGTGTGTGTGTGTGTGTGTGTGTGTGTGTGTGTGTGTGCGTGCAAGGATGTACGTTTGCGTCTATCCTGTAATCCCATAACATTTGCACATTCAGACCAAACAGCTGGCGCTTTAGGTCAGTGTTTCCCACACTGACCATGAGCTGGGGGGGGAGCAAAACATGGACCATCTGGGGGTCTCCGAGGATTGGGTTGAGAAACACTGCCTTAGGGGGCCCTGAGCAGGGGGGGATCGCGACCTGGGGTAGGATAGAGACAGATCTTCACATTCTTGTGGCTTAAAGACCCCATTGCGATCTCTGCCCTGACCTCTGACCTGCTTCCTGCCTCAGCATCGTTCTCCATGGGCTGGGCGGCCTTCATGTGCATCACGCCCAACGTGCAGGAGGAGGGTGCCATGAAGGAAGACACGGGGACGCAGGACACGCCCTACAGTGAGGTACCGCACACGCCCTGGGGGGCTGGGTTGGGAGGGGGCAGCAACCTGCATGTCAAAGGAGAAGCTTGAAGACTTGTTAAAAGGGATTCAGTAACTTATATTTAACAGAAAATTCACTCTATGGCTGCCCCCCCCCCCCCCCCCCCCACCCCACCCCACCCCAATGCACACACTCACACCCAGGACACACTGGTGGAACAGCTGGTGATGTGTGTGGATTACCTGTGGAAGTCTGAGAGGCACGAACTCATCGCTGCCGTCCACAAACCCATGATTGCCGTCTTCGAGAAGAGGAGGGACTTCAAGGTACCATCGATCTCTGAAAAACAATAAACCAAGTAAAACACATAAAATACCTGTATAACTCTCCCGGAGTGTTAAACACATGATTCTTAGGTACCTCTTAGTTGATCCGTAATGGTCGTGCTTTAAGGTACAGTCCTTACCGGACAGCTATTTACTGAGATACATACGCGGGGGTGCGTGTGCTGAGCTCCTCTCCCGTTTGCCTGCCCCGCAGCGGCTCTCGGAGCTGTACTACGACATCCACCGCTCCTACCAGAAAGTCACGGAGGTGGTGAACTCGGAGAAGCGCCTCTTCGGGCGGTACTACCGCGTGGCTTTCTACGGCCAGGTGAGCGCTTAACCCTGATCACGACCTGAAATCACGACAAAACCCTGTTAATGTCGGCTACACTTTGCTTGAATAGAGGCACATCCTTTGCATTTGCTGTTTGTGGGAATTAAGCAGGCATTTCTCCGTAATGAAAGCGTTCGGAGGTTCATTAGTCACGTGCAGTAATAAATTGAAGTTACTTGCAAACTCGATTGTGTGGAAGGTAATGTGATAATGTTTAACGCTGAGAAATCGCAGGTAAAGGCAACGGTAACGTGTCATTAGGACAAAGCAGAAGACCTGATGCATGTTCACTTTGCGGAAAAATCTGGTTATGTTTTATTTAATAACCGTAGTACTTAACATTTGACAGGGAAATGTTGCCGTCTTAAAAAGGATAAGGTTTGTGCGTGTGTGTTCGTCCTCTGTGGGTGGATGGTAGACTACATACCCCTCCTAAGAGTTTGTGAATCTCATCTATATCAAGGCTGGGGAACTTGATTTATTTTCATGATGTATGTGGAAAATATTAAATATGTGCATTCGGGATTTTCCTTTATTTCCTGAATCACAAAGGAAAGATTTCTGGTAACCTAAATACATGGCTTTCGCAATCATTCCGAGACGATTCCGTTTTGTGGCTGCTTCTGGGCCAATTGAGGTCTAGTGTAGAAGCTCGGATTGGAGGTCTCTGAAGGCTTCATTTCCACCGTCCATCCACGGTGGAAACACTCAGTCCACCGTTTCATCGTCTTAGAAATAATCTGCTTTCCTTCGGTTGCATAATTTCTGCCGGTGAGCCAGCTACCCGAAGCAGAAACTGACTGTGGTGACACATTAACATTCCGTAAATTATGCTGTCTTATCTCCTCTTGAACCAGCTGCCTTTCCTCAGGGAAGTGTCTTTCAGTGCATCAAAGTGAAGCAATTGTATTTATTGGGGAAATCCGTTTCCCAGCTAGAAAAGCAGTGTATTCGTGTCGAAAATGTGTTGAGTATGCGTAGCCATTCGAGATACCATCAATGTAAGTATATTGACAGTGATTCTGTAATATATCTCCTTAACTTGATCATTTGTAATCTGTAAATGCCAAGTTTGCCTAAACAAAGAAAACAGTGAGCTATCATGAGCTGGGTCAGTGCTTCTGTACCAGGGTCCCTCTTATGATCCACTTCGTTAATTCGGTTATCTGTCATCTTCTCTTTCTTTTGTCCGTCTGTATCAAGGCTGCGGTAAGTTTTTTCCTTTCTGTATTTTTCATTTTTGCCTCTCTGCACTCTCGCTGCTCTTTCTGCTATCGTACCTCCCCTAACTTACGATGTGAGTTAGTGTTTTTCGTCCGCCAGTCTGTCTGTGTGCGTGCGTGTATACATATATATGCGGCATTAGTGTATAATATGTATACTGCCAAACACCTCCATACTGCTTTGCCCCCGAAAGAGCCCTGCGTTTAATCCACAGCTTTCTAAAGACTCAATTAAATATTTTTATTCTGTCAACACAAATCGGTGTCCTAATTAGACTGACAGTTATTATTACCAACATTCAAAGCGTCTGCTTCTTTATTAACATAACTTCTCTACTGAGCCCTTAACTATTTTTCGGCACAGTGCATTTCTAACACGCTGAATCGCGGTATCTTTACTTAGGTAACACTTTCACTGCAAAAAAGCACATATGATGTGCCGCATATGTGCATTCAAGTGCAGGCTCTGGAAGTTAAATTGAAATAGATACAGGAGCATACATCGCCCCCACCAGGGACACGCTAACCCCCTGGACTGGAAGCAGGCGTGTTTTAGCGACATGGGCGTTGATGATGGCTGCATTTGGGCTGGAAAAACTCCTCAGCGTTGTAGGAGAAAAAAAACGGTGGTCTGGCTGCTCTTCCCGGATCGATAGCCAGCTTTAAACTGGATCCCGCGGAGCCCAACCTCTGTTATTGCGCCAGTCTCCTGTTTCTTGCTTAGTGTCCGTCCCACATTAAGCAGCACAAAGGCGTACAGTGTGTGTTTGTTTTTAGAGAGAGGTCGAGCAGTTAATTCCCATTACTTACACTCAGTTATGCATAGGAGCGCCGTGGCCTCATGAACGTGGTCTGCGTTTATCCTGGAGTCTGTGCTTCGGCTTTGTATAAATCATTCGCGCTGTTTATGGGCAGTGATTGCTGACTAAATGAATTTTATCGTTCTGACAAAGAGCTGCTGTGAGCAGTGTTTGGCTGTGGGATGTATAACAATACAATAGTAATAGTATACGCATAAGTATTATACGTTGTATAAAGAACGTTAATAAATGCTTCTGTTAAAATTGTTCCGCTGCACTTCGTTATGCTTTAAGCTTTTACATTTACGGTTAAGCAGACTTTGCGATTTGTCGTCTTCGTGCGAAGTTCATCCCGATTTTTTGAAGTTCGTCGTTGTCGAACCTTTAATAGACCTTTAAAAAGCAACTTCTTTAGATGCCGCTGGGTGGCAGTATTTTTACATTTAATTAGTGTATTTCACTGCGTTCTTTAAATGCAGGGAAAACATATATCCACGTATCTTAGGGTGACCAGATAGTCCATGTCAGGGAGGACACTTTGAGCTACTTCGGGTTTTACAAACTACTTTCAAATTGAAAGGCTCCTGTGCTCGGCTAAATAGTTCAGCTCTTCTTGTGCTTTGACTGGTTTGTTTCCTTGACTGAAAGACTCATCCAGCTGTTTCACATTAGCATTAGTGACACATGCATGATTATAGGAGACTGACCAATCAGCACACAGCAAGAACTCATTGCTCAAGTGAAATTCGGGTCCTTTTAATTTAAATGGTAGTTTACAATTCCTGTCCTAGCTCAGAGTGTCCTCCCTGACATGGATTATCTGGTCACCCTAACGTATCTTTTCCTCACATTGTATTTCTTTGGAATGACTGTACTGTTTGTCACACGTGTCAGAGGGGTGCCTTCTCATAGACAGGACGTTACGCAATGCCCTGCAGATGCCTGAAGTAACAGACAATACCCGCTCTCCTCCAGGGCTTCTTTGAAGAAGAGGATAAACAAGAGTTCATTTACAAGGAGCCCAAGCTGACGGCACTGTCAGAGATCTCGCAGAGACTGCTGAAGCTTTACTCTGACAAGTTTGGGGCCGACAACGTGAAGATGATACAGGACTCCAATAAGGTAGGTGCAAGTGCCCTGGTGAACGGCTTGTGTGCTTATTCTCCGTCTTCCTTTGAAATAAGTGTGACTTGTCCATTTGTGAGGAATACAAAGCAGAAGTATTAATGACATTTTGCATGCCCCAGGTGAACCCCAAAGATCTGGACCCGAAGTACGCATACATCCAGGTGACCTACGTCACGCCGTACTTCGATGAGAAGGAGCTGCAGGAGAAGAAGACTGACTTTGAGCGGCACCACAACATCAAGCGCTTTGTGTTTGAGACGCCCTTCACGTTGTCGGGGAAGAAGCACGGCGAAGTGGAGGAACAGTGCAAGAGGCGGACCATACTGACCAGTGAGTCGCTCCACGCTACCCTCTGCTAATGCTATGTTATGCCAGCTGCTTTCAATAGTGCAGGACCATACTGACCAGTGAGGTGTGCCATGCTACCCTCCGCTAATGCTATGCTATGCCAGCTGCTTTCAATAGTGCAGGACCATACTGACCAGTGAGGTGTGCCATGCTACCCTCCGCTAATGCTATGCTATGCCAGCTGCTTTCAATAGTGCAGGACCATACTGACCAGTGAGGTGTGCCATGCATGCTAATGCTATGCTACTTACCCTGGCAGGGTTATAAATTTAGCTCCGTTTCTCCCCTCTTCTTCTTTTCCACCCCCCCCAGCCAGGGCTGCCTTCCCCTACCTGAAGAAGCGCATCCAGGTGATGGAGCAGCAGAGCACAGAGCTGAACCCCATCGAGGTGGCCATCGACGAGATGTCCCGCAAGGTGTCTGAGCTGAACCAGTTGTGCGCCATGGACGAGGTGGACATGATCCGGCTGCAGCTGAAGCTGCAGGGTAGCGTCAGCGTCAAGGCGAGTGCGAGATGCTCCTACCTCCAAAAGGGGAGAGGAGCCTCTGTCTGTCTGACCCGGCCGTTTAAATGGCATCTGTCAATATCACGAAAATGACTGATTCCCTGCGCACAAGCCCGACACTTCAACTCACAAATACCAGTGTAACCTTAAAATAATGCAGTGTTTTTAATATGTTTAACACATTTATAACACTAGCTGTTTCATTTTGTAAAAATTAAAAATTATTCTGCCTGTTTAAAAAAGGTTTTTGGCTTCCACTTAAATGTCAGGATCAGGAAGAGTTCTGTCTTTTTCCCTCATTCTGAGTCTACTGGCTTTGTGTTTTGCAAGCCTGCATAATTTTGTCGGCCTCTTGTCCAACATTATATATTTTGTCACCGGCAAACACCAGGTTAATGCTGGACCTATGGCTTACGCACGCGCCTTTCTGGAAGAGGGGAATGCCAAGAAATACCCTGACAACCAGGTCAAACTTCTCAAGGTGATTTTCAGGTACTTAATTTTTGGTGATATATATATATATATTTTTTTTTTTTCTACTAAGATTATATTTATTTTTGGATTTAAGGTATGAGAGCACATGTAATCAACACGTAACATCTGGCATGGGAGTAAGTGCACTCACAGCGGACAAATTGCTGCTCTCTGCCTCCCCCTGCAGGCAGTTTGCGGAAGCGTGCGGACAGGCTTTGGACGTGAATGAGAAGCTGATTAAGGAGGACCAGCTGGAGTACCAGGAGGAGATGAAGGCCCATTATAGGGACATGCTGAGCGAGCTGTCGGACGTCATGAACGAGCAGGTCTCTAAGCCCAGTCGCCTGGCTTTATACACGTGCTTTTTAAATAACCAAATAGGGATTAAGGAGGGACTTACTACGTTAATCTCCTTCCTAACACAGCCCATACTGACAGGGAGTCTTTTTGCAGTTACTGTGGCTATATCCCTTTAAGTGATATTTTTTCCCCTCCTACACATTTCCCAAATGCCCGCTCCTGCATAACCATGGCAATGAGCATAACCCGCCTCTCTCCCTCTCTTCCTTTTGAATTTTTTCAGTTTTCTCTCCTTTCTCTATGGCTTGGCACCTTTTAAAATTCCCCGTTTGAGTTCTGTAAGTGACCGTACCCTCTCTCCCCCTGGACTGTTATTTCTTTAACCCCCCCCCCCCCCCCCCCCCCCCCCCCCATCACTCTTCTCCAATCTTAATAGCAATGCCCCCTGCAGGAAGGGAGCGGTTCTGCGGTCCACCAGCTGATTTGTGGAGCGTTTCCTCCTTTCTTATTCTGTTTTTCCCCATTTTCTTGTCTTACATCATTCCTGGGAAACAGTGTTTTTCTCTAAAGCTTTTATAAAATCCAAAAGGACAGATTTATGATTAGCTTGAGGAGAGCTGACTGCATTACAGGTTGGAGACTGTCAGGAATATTTGGCTGCTATTCACAGATGATGACAGGCTGAGATGTAGGGTTATGTATTTGTCATACAACTGCTCAAAATGTTTTAAAATGTCACATGGGCTGAAGAGGGTTTTGGGGCATCATGCGAAGGGATCCCTGACGATGTCATTAATGCTCATGTCTCTTGCCGTCTGTTTTTGGCCAACGTGGAGTAGATTGTGTACCCAAAGCAGCAAGGAACGGACCGGCTTCACACCCTCTGATCAGCTTGTGAGACGAACCAGGGATGAACCAGGAGGAGTTTAATGCTGGCAGGAAGCAGAGACCCCAGAATCCCCACCCAGTATTACTGACCAGATCTGACACAGGGACGCAAAAGCTGTGACATTTTACGAACTGGAAATAAGGAATGGAATGGGACTACTGCGATTTCCTTAATCTTATTTTGTAAGCGCATTCTTCGCGTCAAAGGCTATGAGCTAAAGTGCAGGCTGCTTATCTCTCTCTCTCTCTCTTTCCACACCTCGCAAAATGACCCCCGTACCGCCCTGGGCAGCCATTAGCTTAAAGCAGGAGGGCGGGGACTTGAAAAGGCCACATGTGGGGAGTGTGGCTTCCGCCGAGCGTGTCACACTGTAAATGCCCCGCCCCCCCAGAGTGGCCCCAGGATCTGACGTCTTTGTGAATGTAGGTGCGATCGCGCTTTTTTTACCCGACCCGAGCTAACGTCCTGGAATTCCCCGCTGGCAGATTTTCTGAATGCGAAAAGTTAATGTTTTATAACATTTTTATTATCGTTAATGTTGTTCTTATGTACTGTTTTAAATTGTAAATAAGAATAATTAATATTTAAAAGGTTTCTTTTTATACAAAAAATGAACTTTTGTTTGGATAAATTAAAAAAAAAAAAAAAAGATTGAAGAAACTAAAGTTTTATGTATAACATTTAAATAAATTTTGTTAATATCTGTAACCTACTCTGAGGATGCGGTGTTGGGCCTGTAAGTCATTGAGTGTTGTGCTGGTGTGTCACAGATAGGTGGAGCTGCTGCGCACTGTGCTAATGAAGACATTCACACATACATACAGCTGAGGCCGAAGCTTGGGGCCTGAGCCCAGGGTCACGCCATTTATCTGACACCCCTGGAGCATTTTGGGGGATTAAGGGCCTTGCCCAAGGGCCCACCGAAGATGGGACTGTTCTGCCGAGGATGGGACCTAAATTGGTGTTCCTCTGTGCAAATCCACTCAGCCACACTCTGCCCACAGGGTTCTGTCCACAATCCAAAGGGGTCTATGTGACCTGTCTGTGTGACCTGTCTGTCTGCCTGACTGGCTGTCTGTCTATCTATGTGACTTTTCTGGTGTCTGGCGTCCTGCACGTGCGTGACCTCCATCTGCGTCCTGTGCGTGCGTGACCTCCGTCTGCATCCTGCGCGTGCTTTACCTCCGTCTGCGTCCTGCGCGGGCGTGACCTCCGTCTGCATCCTGCGCGGGCGTGACCTCCGTCTGCGTCCTGCGCGTGCTTTACTTCCGTCTGCGTCCTGCTCGTGCGTGACCTCCGTCTGCGTCCTGCGCGTGCGTGACCTCCGTCTGCATCCTGCGCGTGCTTTACCTCCGTCTGCATCCTGCGCGGGCGTGACCTCCGTCTGCGTCCTGCGCATGTGTGTGCCCGGTGATGCCTCCTCCGCCTCGTTTGCCAACGTAGGCCCCAGGCTCAGTGTGAGCCTTCGCTGCATGTGTAGAATGACATGAAGCCCCAAGGACACACACACAGACAGACACACGCTAAAGCAACCATGTGACCCCACACCAAACGCACGTCTACATTCACATATTCCACGGGCCGTTTCTCCAACTACAGGCGGCACCTGGCCATAATTACAGATAATTGCCGGCCCCTTGGCCCCCGCCACGCCCGTGATCTCTCTGAAGTGGAAACATGAGCTGGGAGCCACTCTTTACAGGGCCTGTCAGAACCTGGGTGAAGCCTGACAACAAAAGGATGCTTTTAAACACCCCCCCCCCCCCCGTGTGTCCTGCTGGCAGTGGAACAAACCCCCTCCCCCCCATGTTTTTATTATCTTTGAAGAATACTGTCTGGAAACCTCTAGGGGGGTGCGTGTCTGTGTGTTTGTGCTGGTGAAGTAACAGCTCCTATTACATGTAATGAAGACATTGATTCAATTTCCCAAGCTTGATTTATAAATTTATACAGTGCAGGCTACAGGCTGGCCTTGATTAGCAGTTTGTCATTAATCAAGAACAATACCTACATATATTTGTGTACATCGTGCCCCTTTCTAACACTGCTTGCCTTATGCAGGTGACTTTTTAAATCCATGTGTATTGGCACATGGGACTGATAACTGATAATCTTTTTATCAGCAAACAGGATGTGGGGGTCGGGGGGGGAATTATATGGGATGTATGACGTTTCCTTGATTCAAATGTTGGATATCTTTCACATTTGGCGAAAGTTTTTTGCAGTGAAATCTCTCAGCTGCCCACTGCTTTGGGCCGGATTATGGAGAGAAATTGTGGCTTCAGAGCTTGTTCGACCAAAATGAACAGAAATGCTGAAATGTTTGTTGGTTCTAAGCACTTAATATCCGGAGAGTTCTCCTGGTATTTCTGGTCATTTAGAGGCATCACGGTGAGTCAGTGAGGTGGTTGCAGGTTCAGATCCCACCTGCAGTGTGAGGGGTTTTTGTGTGTGGATCCAGCCCTGTCAGCCTTCCACAGTGTCGTGAATTATTTGAAACGCACCTTTGTGATGTCACACAGTCTGCGGGACACTTGACCAGACACTAATCTGTGGGGTCCAGCAACCCAATGTGGTGTTTAAGCAGAGACAGCCTGGTAGCGGGTCACTGCGTGATCGTGGGCATCGTTAGACCCCTTTTACTGCGGCATGTGCCCCAGTAAAATCTCAAGTTCAGCATTCAACAGCAAAATAATTTGCCAGTGCATTCACTTAGACTGATAATACTGCGAAAAGAATGGATGTTTTTTCTACTCCAAAGTGTATCAATGTGGTTTTAACCACAAATAAAGGCAAAGCGCCCATGTTCTGTGTGCATGTCAGCATGCATGTCCTGCAGGTAAGCTGTAACACGCATGCATGGGGGTGATGGAGAGTGGGGGGCCTTCATGTCGAGCGACGCCCCTGCCCAGGACCCTGGCCCAGCACCAGCATGCACCTCTCCACTGGTCACTAATCACTGCCGGCGGGGAGGACAGACAAGACGCCCCTTTTTCATTAATTCATGCTAATCCACATGCCAGGACCCAACACATGAAGACAGGTAACGGGTTTGCTGCCCGTAAACATGGAGGCACCGTCTGCAGAGGGTGAAATGACACCAGTAATGACACTGTCAATATTTTCAGTTTTACAGGTTACAAAAACGGATGGGGGGGGGCATGAACACCTTGTGCCAGTGAATCCAGGCCAAGGTGTGACTTTTGGTTAAGGGGAGGGGTACATTTTTGGTTTTTCTGCCCTCACTGAAGGGTAAGTGCAGAAAACCTGGAATCTGTGGCCCCCTCCTTTGAAGAGGTCAGGTCTCCACCTCTCCCTTTTTATTTCATATGCGAGGATGGATGGATGTACTTGCTTTATGCTTTATTTTAGCATTTTTAATTCGTTTTTTTATAGAATTTCTTCCTTTCTTTCTGAATTCATTTTATATGAACTAAGACCAGCAAAAGCATGCAGATGTAGGTCTGTAAGAGTCCCTGAGCGGCCGTTTGGCGTGACTTACCTGCAGCGACAGTGCAGCAGTTTATAGCCGCCTCTGATGTCCGGTGAGCAGAGACTTTCCAGGCTAGTTTTCTTCACCACAGGATCTAAAGAGGTCAGATAGCCTAGAGATAGACACACGATGACATTTAAACCTGAGCAGGTAGGGTCTTGTGTGCGGGCACATAAAGTTTTTAAAGTTCTCCTGATCTGAGAAAATCGCCTGAAAATAAATACGACTTTGTGTAAAAGATTCAGGGGTCTCTCATGATGTATTTGGCATGTCAAACACAGATAGATTTCATGAGTAATGTTAATATAGAACTACAGATGTCTTGCTCCTTCATTCCGCTGGTCATGGCAATCAATTTTTTATTTTGTTTTTGGGATTTTTTTTTTTATGTGTAATTATTTAGAAGAGTCAAAATATTTACAGGTATTTAAGTATTGCTATAGTTCTGTGACGCCAGCGTCTTCACCTGCAAGAACTTCATATCATGTAAATAGTAATTTATGGCAAAGCACATATATGTTCTGTGAAATGAACACGACAGCATATCTGCGTTTCCGACGCTGGATTCAGACATTTTAGTTGAAGCTGAGATGTTGTTATAGGCTGTGATTTTTAAAAAATGTGGATCAATGGAAACATTTTAAGCTTTTCTGCTAAGAATCTAGTTTTAATTCGCTTTGTGTGCATGTACAATCATAATTATGAAATGAAAGACAAACGCAAGTAAACTTTACTTTTAAATGGTAGCTAGGCAAAGGGAAGATTATATAGACCCAGCGGCTAAGCAGCTGGACTATTTTAATTAAACAAAAATACTTGAAACCGTTAAACAAAAAACAGGGCAAACAAGTTAGTTTTTTCATGAAAAAGATGAACTGCTCTTGTAATTTCTGTGGCGCTTTATCCCATTGAATTGATTAACATGAAAAATCGCAGGCCTTTTCGCTGCTTCGGGTAAAACTAAGTAAAGCATTTTATTATGAAGTAGATGTGACACGCTTGATGGTTTGCTTTTAGGAAATGTAACCTTATAGTTTGACTTTGTTGGCATAGCATTGTGGGCGCTCGGTAGTTTGTGATAATGTGTTTCTAACACAATGAACAACCTTGGCAACACTCCATTTCGTGTCTTGCTTAACTGTCGCTTTACGTTGACTGAGGCATAAATTTTTAACACGCCGCGGGTGGGACAGAGATACACATCAACCGAGCAGAGAAGTGAACATGAAACTCACCTTGGCTCCCTAATCCGAGATACTCGGAACTTCAATGAAAACTTAAATCTCATTTTGCCGCCAAAGTTAAAATAAAGGCAACGCTACACTTCTATCTCCTTTTTAAGTACATTTCATTTAAGTGATGTGATGCATGTTGTGCACGATACCGTGATAAAACTGTGATAAAAAGAAATTCTGCAATACGACACTTCTGGGGATTAATAAAACATCAGTGGTGGCTTCTTGGCCGATCACCTGATCCAGTTTCAGCTGTATAAGTGCTGAAAGGCACATAATTTCTTTGTGCATGCCCTGGCTTTGATTGAAACGGAGAAAAGGAGTGGAGGAAGGCAGTATGTGAAAACCGCAGAAAGGCGGACTGCCACCGCAGCGCACAGCGGGCGGATGGACGCGGCGCCCCGGGACGGACAGCCTGTAAGCACCATGGACAGCGCTCCGGGTCTCGCCCGGGTGATCATTGAAATGCGTAACGAAATCCAGAAACTGGAGTCTGAGAACAGGGCACTGCGGGGGAAGCTGGATCAAAGGCCGGCCGAAGTAAACTCGGGGCCGCATGCATGCCAGCACAGGATGGCAACGATAGACAGGGCGTCCCAAGCCAGCTTAAGGCGAAATGCGTCCGCCCCCGCACTGGAGGGACAGTATCAGGATGCAAATGGTATTATTCAATTATAACTTTCTGACGTTCTATATAAATTTATACAGATATTTTCCCGAATTGCAGTCAGGTAAATGAGTTGTCTTCTATCTCACAATTCTTTACCTGTTTAATTGTCAGATAACATTATAATGACAGTGCGAAGATATTCCATCTCGACCGATATTCGTAACGCCTCCCGAAGGGCTGACAGCAAAGGGACGGCGCACCGGGACACGGAGTCCCTGCACCCGGACAGGCTCCGGGAAGGAGTCCGCGGGAAGGCGCCGGCGGTGACTCTTAACCTGCCGCGGGACGAGAGCAGCAGCTTAACCAGAGAGGAGCTGAACAACAAGCGCTCTCTGCACGACTACGTCCACAAAAACAGGTTGGTCGCACTCGGCATGTTTACTTTATAACTTAATATTCTGATTCTGGTTTTTTGTCATCTTCCGGATAATTTTTAAAACACCATTAAGATGGATATCAGAAGGTTTGCATCTGTCACAGAAGTCACTAATAAATGTGTTTTTTATTCTTGATATTTAATTGCAATATAACACACTATAAATCGATGTACTGGTTCATAGCAGTTTCTCAACCCGTCCTGCAGACAGTCCGTATTTTTTCTCCCTCCCAGCTGCATTATCTCTGCAGGCATTCAGTGTTCTTGATTTAATGGTTCAGCTGTGCTGGGAGCTGGGAGGGAGCTAAAATGTGGACTGTCTGGAGGTCCCTGAGGACTGGATTGAGAAACACCGATTTACAGTGTTCTTTGTCTTATAATATTATCTACAAAGGAAATACTTGCCATATTATTCTTTCTCTGGTATTTATAGAACAAAAGTCAAAACTGTCACGTTCCTTCTGCCTGTGGAAGACATTTACACAGCCCAACCAGTCTTAAACAGCCACTTAAGCAACCGGACATCGTACAACGTAACTCTGGAAAAAGACTCATGAAGTTAAAGCATAAGGTGAGAGAGCTCTGAGTGTGGCCAAAAAGAGCGGGAGGGTGAATTCGTGGGGGTAGCGTGCACAATTCAGGCGCGGCGCTGGTTACTTTGTTTTAGGTTATCCAGGCAATCGATTGTATCTCAGCTGACTTGGTAACTGATATGTGTCCGACAGCCATCCGCCCAGAGCAGTCTATTTTCCCCCACAAACCCGCCTCCTCCCCGCTGGGGTTGGGTGTCGTGTCAGTCCAATCTGGGTCAGGAGGAGATGGTGGGCAATCGCTCTCAGAGACACTTTGACTTGGGTTTCCCGCCGTGCGGCACCAACCAAATCTGCGGCATTACTTATTTAAGTTGGTCCTCCAAACACATGATAATGAAACAGAATTTATTTTTTTGTGTCTGAATAAAAGTGTATAAGCAGAGACACGTTTCAGTGTGTGTAACGTAAGAACTGTCCACTTCCTTAATCCTTGGGGAATCAAAAACGGCAGTTTAGTGCCAAACAATGTCAGTTACATATCTACAATTTCTAATCATTAATACATGATCACTGAGTTTTGAATTTCTTATTGCACTGTTTTGTACAAATATGTTTTTAAAATGCCTTTAAAAATACATTTTTAAAAATACCTGTCACATTTCATTTTAAAACACCTACTCAACAGATAATACTGTAATTATTCCTATAAATATTACCAAACACATATGGCTTCCTTGGCACATCAAACTGTAGACAGTAGTGCTGTCTGCCATGTTCAGTAAAGCTTGACCCTGTGACCCTGACTACTGGGAGACTTAGCAGGCACCTTTACTGACTGTGACTCAGTGGAGGACAGAGACCTGTCATGTCACCCCACCCCACCGTGTTCACCATGTCCCCGAACAGGCAGTACTGCGGCATCTTTTCTCCCACCATGTCCCCTAACACCGGCCCGCTGTGGACACCCACAGGGATCTGCGGGCCAGGGAGAGGCAGGGAGTGGACGTGAAAAGCCGCACGGGTGCATTATGGGAAATTAGCTCCTCTCTCTCTCTGATCACCCTGCGTACGGAACAGCTGTACACTCCCGTCTGCATCTTTGCTTCATTCCTGAGCTGTGTTCATATCATGCTTTTCACATGGATGGTTAACAAGCACGGCCATTACCAGATCTATTGGTTTGTGTGTGGGGGGTTGGGGGGAGATTTCATTAATTCAATTATAATTCATCCAGTTACAATACAGTACCAAGTACATTGACTTTAGCAATACCATTGTTTGTTGGTTAATCTATGGGAGAGGAGTGCTGTTGAGTAACTGAGATGAGCTGGGTCTGATTGGATTTAAGGATGTGATGGTGAGCGTACTCACATCACTGAGCATGTTACACCAAGAGCATGTTGTTATAGTAACCCAGACAGAAGATAACCCCCCCCCGTGATGGGGTTGGTGACGTCCTGGGCAGCGATGACCATACCCAAGGCTGCCCCACCCACAACCATGTTGGCATCACCAATTGTCACCACCTAGAAAACTGGCATGAGGAGAACGTTGAATCCATCCATCTACTTTCTGTCCCACTTCTCCAGTTTAGATTTGTAATACTTCCAACCCCATTTCTACCCCCCTCCGCCCCCCACCCCAGACCCGTGTCTTCACCTGTGTTCCCTTGATTAAGCTTCTCCTGGATTACTGATCCATTTCCCATTCACAGCCAGAAGGGCTGTATGAATGACCTGTATCGTACTTCGCTGTGCTGATACGCTGTGGACACACAGTGAAAGAAAACACCTCCAGCACTTTGTAGTCATCGTACACGGTGGTCAGCCTGTCAAGCTTCAGGGACATGGAGTTGAGCATGATGACTATCTGGATGGGTTTCCACGCAGAGCGGATGCTGGTGAAGGTCATCACGGCGCTGAAGAGGATGGTCCACTCCTTAAATTCACCTGGAGGGAGAACAATGTAAGAGCATCAGGAACATGCATGCTCACACAAACAAAAGTGAGACGGTAATCATCACAGTGGATTTCCCTCACCTGCCTCCACTCTCTTGCCCTCCTTCAGCTGATTGGCCACGTGTTTGGGCAGCATGGCATACAGCTGGGCCTCTGTCTTATTCCCCTCCTCCTCCAGGTGGCGGTAGAGCCGGCAAAGCTCCTCTTTTGCGCTCCAGTTGGCTGGAGAGCTCAGTCTCGGCCAGGTGCTAGTGGATGAGCAGGATGAGGTCGTGCATGGCTTTGTGCGGCGCGATGTCCGAGGTGTGCATGCGGCACTCCTGCGGCTCCTGGGGGCTGCGGAGCAGTGTGGGAAGCCTGATACTGCACGCACTGCAGTGGCTCCATCCACATCATCCACATCATCAGCAGGCAGTGGTGGCTTAATGGTTAAGGGAAGTGCACTAATAATTGAAAGGTTGCTGGTTCGAATCCCCAACCAGCAAGGCACCACTGAGGTACCATGAGCAAGGTACCGTCCCCAAGCACTGCTCCCCGGGCGCTGAATTAGCTGCCCATTGCTATGTCACGATGTCACATATGGGTTAAATGCAGAGGACACATTTCGTCGTTGTGCACTGTGTGCTGTGGTGTGTCAACAATGACAATTAATCACTAAATTATAAGTGATGGGGGGGTGCAGGGCGTGTAAAGAGAAAAATATACGTTACGAAAACCTGACTACATTGCCCGAGGCACTTTCTGTCCCCTCTGCTCTCCCAGCGATGGACGGGTTGGACGAGTCAGGGATTGTCAGCCCTAATGAAAGCCAATGAAGTGACATAGTGTAAAGCAGACAGCAGCCGACAGGACATGTTAATCCCTCCCCAAGGTATCTCGAATGAGCAAAGGAATTGCAGCAGCCACAGGAATCCCCTAAATCAAATTCTGTGATTGGTTGCCTTACGCTGGGCCTCAAACACCAGTATAAACTGGCTATTTAACCGAAGGCAGGCAACCCTGCTCAAAGGTACAACTGAAATTAACATTTTGGTGCTGCCCATTGTCTTATATTGACTTGTGCTCGTAAATCTTAGCCTGCTGCTGAAGTCTATTGGGTGGCTGGTTATCCAGATCAGCAAACAGCGGCAGGTAAAATAAAATCTCTCCCTCTCCTCCTGTCTGTGCAACCCCCCGTCTCTCTTTCTCGCAGTCTTCACACATGGTCTCTCTCCATCTGCCTGTCTTTCCCTCCTTCACCCCCCCCCCCCCCTCTTCCCTGCCCTCCCATGCTCCCTGACTCCGCACCCCCCCCCCTCCGCCGGTGCTACTCCGGAGTTCCAGTGTGGGTCCGCCTCTCCACGACTATGGTATCATCTCCTGCTGGGCCTGCAGCATGAAGTGGCTGTTGATGAACTTCCTGATGCCGCAGACCGGATGCAGAAGCACTGGTCCAGCTGGATCTGCATGCTCTGCAGCCCGGGGACGATCCTCTGGATGTTCACTCCTGCCTGCTTCACACGGAGCTGAAGTTTTGTAATGAAAGTGTTGTAAATGCTTTGTTTTTTTAACCAATACTCTATAAATGATAGTATTGCACTTGCATAGTGAGTCAGGAATATCACATTTCTATTGCTATATAGTTAATGGACAAAGTACTTAATCTGAACAACTGCAGTGAAATACCCAGCTGTATAACAAATAAAAAATGTGTTTTTTTGATGAAAGCATCAGCTATGACAGTATATATAAATGTAGCGCCTTTCAGCAGGGCCTTATGTGTGTCTGTGTTGCATCTCTTGTGCTTAACTGACGATGTAGACTCTCCCTCTTTGTTAAACACGATGTGGAAGGGAAAGGCATTGGGAAAAGTGTTCAGATCGATGCAGAGAGTCTTGGGATAGACTGGCTGAAACCCCCTCAGCAGCTTGCCTGGCACAAAACAAAAAGCCCATGTAGCAATTTAAACATGCATCTACACTGCAGAAAACTGTTTTTGTCCATGACTCCTGAAGCTGACACGTTAAATTATGACAGCGGGATAAATGAATAATAATGACAAAATAATGACAATGACGCCCCCTGCTGGAGGGCCGATATGTAACTTTCTATCTAAAAAATAATAAATATTTTTGGTTTTGTAGAGAAAAATATAAATAAAACACCTAAATTTAATTCACCTAGGATTTTTGTTTCATATTGGATAATTGATCCATCATATTTTCCCCCGCCTCGATGATATTAGTATCAGATAAAAACGGCGGGTAAATATCGACATATGAACCATATTAGTCAGACAATGAGTTAACTGCAAATTTTTCCATATATGACACAGTACATTGTAAACGAAATTGCGGATAAAATTGGTTTCGTAACACTGTGACTTTACGTAGGCTGGCAAGTCGGCGCCCTAGGCGTTTGCCTGTATTTGTGACCTGTGTTTCACAACCTGTATATATATTCCGGAAGCCCTGATTTATGTGCCGAAACATGCCTTTATAAAATCATGAAGTGCATGGTTAGGTTCGCCGGAAAAGCCCTCAAACGATATGCAGACGCAACAACAGTAGGCCTAAATGGAAATGTTTGTGAGCCCGTACTACTGTTATATATATTATTTTTCACGTGTTCATAATCTAATAAGATTTAGGCCTAGTATGATTATTATATTTAATAAGCATCAAAGAATTGCAAAATGACTAAATCCATACATCTTCCGACCGCTTATTCTGGTCAGGGTCGTGTGCTAATAGTAAAACAATACAACAATAGCGAAAAGTATTATTGTAATAGTGAAAATAGTACATTCAAATATTTAGCAGATATTTTTTGTCCAAAGTGGCGTACATTCGAGACAAATAACACAATGCAAATATTCAGGTCCAATTGTAAGCAGTCTTGGAGCAGGAGATAACAAACAGCTACACAACTACACATATAACTATAAACAAAGTAAGAACCTAATAAAACTACTTAAAGGATACTAAGTGTAACACAGGAGCATTCAAAGAACAGTCAATAGACAACGTTTTGGGTTTGTTACACCCAAAACGAGCTTATGTACTTCCTGGTAGATCTTTTTTTAGTAAATTCTCTTTTTAAATTTGCCATATATTTGTTTTTCATCAGTTGACATTAGTTTAAATGAGTTGCGTAAAAGTAGCAAATCAGTTCCATCGGCTCTGTTGTAATTCCGTTTTCAGACTTAATTTGCACGTCTGTAATCTATAATGTCGCGTGATTTTCTACTGTCGCACATGCGTACTGGGCGCTCGGTCGGCCGCCATCACTGTGCATAGACATCCAGGGTAGGTGGAAGGGAGCTGAGAACGACAATAGCAGCCTGCGCCCAGGGATTCAGCCCCGCGAGTGTCGTCGAGGGGGGTTCAGCGGCACAGACAGCCTGACGCCATCCGCAGTTTTAATGTAAATACCAGAAGCGCCAAACATGTCCAACCTCAGCAAAGGCGGAACCAAAAAGGACACCAAGATGAGGATACGGGCCTTTCCTGTGAGTACTGTCCGGGGACGCGGCGCTAGCGCTCGTGCGCCAGCGTCTACCAGTGCCGAGGACTGGAGTGGGCCCGTCCCATTGAGGCCTTTTGTCCAGTAAACATTAGTCTTTTTATGTCGGGGGAGTTTGGTTGGCCCCCGGCTCCTGGGCGCCTGAGTTCTGGTTGTTTGTAGTTCAGTTCCCCGTCATAGCAGCTCCCTGTGTTTGCTGTCTAGCCGGAGAGCTGACTGTCACTTGTTGGCTGCCTCAACCTGGTTGTTCCGTCGTTCGTCACCTTATTTTGATCTGTCTCCGAGCCATAAAGCCTGGTTAGCGGACCGACTACTGGTTGTGAATGGTCTCGCTCACTTGTCTCTCCACCACCGTCCCGGAGGTTTATGACCTGTTCATACACGCGAGTCCATTATTTGGGGTTAGGGCTGAATACGATTTATCCTTGAATGAAAATTTATTTAGTTATGGATAGATGAGGCCAGGGGTTTCGAGAGGACCTTGAGCTGTTGCCCAGGAATGTCGAACCAGTATTTCAGACGGAAGTCCTCCAGCTGGTGGTGCAGACAGATCCAGTAATCTGCAAGCGACATTGTTCATTTCCATTTGGAAAAAACAAGGAAGTGTTCAGACTGCGCCACCTTTCTCCAGTAATTAGAAATCAGTACTTAAATGATCCTGCACCACCTACAGTAAAGCAGTGTGGTAATCCGTTTTGTGCAGATTCTATTTTGCTATATCATTCTGAAGTCCTCCCAGACAAATCTGTCTGACAGATTGTACCATGTAACATCACTACTACAAGTATTTCAGATGTAAGCATGTGCTTTTTTTTTTTTTTTTTACTGTAATATATCATTTAAATCGTGAACGATGAATCTTTAATCTGCAGTTTGCTGGTTTTTTTTCCATGGTTCGATTCATTCATTGGCCTGTCAGATTCCATCAGAAGTGGTGCTTCACTCAGAGAGCGGCCCTTTTGTAGTCCTGCAAATTCTTTATATACCACACTCCAAACACAGCTCCTCGAAACCCAAATAAACATGACAATAGCACAGCAGGGAAATATCATAGTATTTCACACACCGCACACATTCAGTCACGCTTATGCTGGAGACTTTCATAATTATGCCGTCACTGCTGTCTGATATTTCAGTTACTTTGTTTTCAGGCTCTAGCGGATGACATGTTTTTGTAACCTAGGTTAATGCAGTTATATGCTTCCTTGTCAGTTAAGTATGACTTTATCAAAAAGCCTGTTTTATCAATGGCAACCTATTATTTTTTATTGCAAGTTGTGTTCTCATCCATCATAGTGAAGCTGAGACCCACAAAGTTTTTCCTAGTAATTACGTTTGTCAGAATACTTGTTCTCTTCTGTTCTTCATCTCCTGCTTTGAATACAGCTGTGTTATTGGTTGTAAGCTGATTTTGATGGAAGTATTGGTGGGTCAGCAGAATAAAAAACGTACTAGAATGTTATCCATTATTATTCCAGCCCAATGCCGGTGGCTCGCTCTGACTGTACATGCTGCATGTCCAGCTGATACGCCCCCTACAGGCCTTTATTCTTCAGCAGAGAAGCTGCTCACTCGTCTGCCTGCTTGTCAGAATATTTACTCCCAGTCTGTGCTTTTTGTCATCGAGGTACAAAGGCTGTTTACTAAAAGGCTTCATCTATACCTTCCTATTTTGGTGGTCTACTAACTCCTGTTTCTAAATACAACAGATTTCTAAGCAAAGGGTGTCATCGTTTAGACTTGGATTTTCTGATCTAGTAAGGTAGATTTTAGCAGTCCTTTGGTCCTCCCAACTGCAGGCAAGGAAATCTAAATTTCATGCTGTAATGGGAGCAGTTTAAAAGGCAGTAGCTTCCTTTGCTCCCTCCCCCCTCAAGCCCTAACGCTAACCCTAAGCGTAACACCTGTGTCCCATGGTTTTGGTACATTTTGTTTGAAGACCTCGTCCTGTTTGCAGAGACGCACCTTTCCCTCAGTACAGTCTTCTCTATCTCATTGTTTCTGTCTCTGTTTAGTTCACTTAGATCAATATGCAAATTTTTGTCCCTGTTAGTAAAAGACCTTCTGTTGTAAGACATTCGGGCTGCATGATATCACATCTCGTTATAATGACAAATATACGGCGCATGCTCCCTAATCACCAGGCTTTATAGTATTATATGAACGTTTAATTACACCCACAGTTTGGTGTGTATTTTGTGCTTACATCATCTCTGGTTCTCTGTGATGTCACTGCTCATTTGACTTTCATTTTACTGGGCAGAGCCAGGCTGTTTGGCCTTATAAAACAAATACGTCTGAGGAATAGGTGCCACCCAGTAGGCAGTAAATAATCCTACTCTGCAAAGTGCTGTGATGTCGTAGTGGACGCCTTGGAAGGCTTGGTCTCTTGAACCATATTGCTTCAATAACAGCCACGCCTGATATTGTTTTCGCCTTGATACAATAATCTGTATCTTTTCTGTAATTGAGACACGCTGTACGTGTCTCTGGTTGTGAGTTCAGAAGTTAAGAACATAGGGAAAGGTCACAGATTTTTTTTAATTAAGTAAATGTATGTAAAAATAAATTATGGACAGCTGTATGTCTGGCAGCGCTATGCTACCTAGCGTGCATTGTGCACTGTCCAAGTTGCCTTGGGAAAGTACTGTACCATATGACAGCATGATCCTTCCAGCCTCTCACGCATCTCCCAATTTTATCATCACACCTAAAAGTTGGTGCATTTGTCCTTTCCTGACGTGTCCATTTTGACGTACAGCCTATCTTTTGGAACAGAACTCAGTCCTACGTCAGGGACAGTCTGTACTGTTTGGATATTTCCACTGACCAGCACTGCAATAGACTCTTTATTCATATCACAGGACTCTACAGTCACTTCAGTGAATCTTTACCTGTAGCCAAGCAGTGGGATTGATGTTTCACGTTTATCATCTTGTTTATCAACACCAGTTACCAATGAGAATCAATAGAAGGGCAACTTGGTTGTAGTCAGAATATTGTGAGGGACCTTTGAACGCTTAATTCATATCTGTATTTTTTGAGACCTTCAGGTATATGGATAATGTGCAAAATATCTGACATTTTGCGTATAAATATTCAAGAAATGTGCAAAAAATGATGTTGCCTTTCCTAATCCAGATGACGATGGATGAAAAATATGTCAACAACATCTGGGACCTTCTGAAGAACGCCATTCAGGAGATCCAGCGGAAGAACAACAGCGGCCTGAGCTTTGAGGAGCTGTACAGGAACGCCTACACCATGGTGCTCCACAAGCATGGCGAGAAGCTCTACACAGGTCTCCGAGAAGTCGTCACGGAGCACCTCATCCACAAAGTAGGGAGATGTTGCCTCATGGTCGTAGACACAAGCCCCGTGGGGGGCACCGTGGTGAAGACTATAGATTTTGCCTTCCGACTTTTACTTGTGAGCATATTGTGTTCTGCGAGTTTGGAGCATATGGCTAAAGTACCTGCGGGCAGGTTCATACCTTTACCCTTAAGTCTTTAAATTGCTCCACCGAATTCAACTAAAACCTTCACCACCTGTCTTGCACCTTCACGCCCACCGGTCTTTCAGACCAGGTTCCCAGTTTCCCCAGCAGTAATGAAGAAGCTGTCTGTTGGTACAGCATCTCTCTTCTGAGAAATCTTACTGCCTCTTGACTCTTCTTTCCCTGTGTTGGCAGATCTATCAGTAAATGCGACATAGAAAACGGTACAAGCATAAAAAAACTCTATCTGCTCCCCCTCCTTACAGGTCCGGGATGACGTCTTAAATTCACTGAACAACAACTTCTTGCAAACATTGAACCAAGCCTGGAATGACCACCAGACAGCGATGGTAATGATTAGGGACATACTGATGTACATGGTGAGTGCTGTCCTTTGATTGTTTCACACACACCCCCCCCCCATATGACATATAAAACAGCTTTCTTCTGAAGGCATTGCGAGTCTCTGCCCTTTGTACTGTGCCACCCTGTTTCTTTTTCGTTACTGGGGTTTACAGGATACTCAGGCAGATTAGGATAACACCATCAAGTTACTTTTTTTTTTTTATAGTGTCCAGATACCTATCTTTCTACGCATAGTGTAAGAACTGATTATGCACCCTGTCATGGTGGTTTTCTTTGGTAGTGTTGGTGGGGTGAGGAGGGGGTTTATTTATGTTTTTGAGAAAATGTTTCTCCCTGGGGGACTATGGCACAATACTCCCACCACCAGAGTTCTGTTCCATGGTGTTCTAGAAACCATATCAAAGACCCACTGTTGCCTTCTGTGGTTGGGTTTGGCAGCCGGCAACCAGGGGAGGCCCCCAGTGGGAAGGGACACGGGAACTAGCAAAAGAACCTCCGTTTTGGGCATTTTAACTGCGAAGGTGCCGTTTACCTTAATGAATGAGCGAACGGTGGAAACACAGTCGCCACATTAGCTGTCACGTCACCTTCTACCAGCCGTTAATGCTTCTCTTTTAGTGGAGCAAGTACGTTATCCAATGGCCCAACTGCCGGACACCATGCAAAGATGCAAAGTTATGACTTTGCTTGTAAGTGTCACTGTGCACATTACTTTGATGACGATGATTTACTGTGGTGGAGGAGTCCTGTGGATTTAATGACCTCAGACTTGCCCCCCCCCCCCCCCCCCTTCAGGACCGTGTGTACGTGCAGCAGAACAACGTGGAGAATGTCTACAACCTGGGCCTCATCATCTTCCGGGACCAGGTAGTACGCTATGGCTGCATCCGAGACCACCTGCGGCAAAGCCTGCTGGAGATGATCGCCCGAGAGAGGCGGGGCGAGGTGGTGGACAGGTACGGCTGGCTGGTGAGCTCAGCCTAGGGCGGGGAACGCGATGAGCTGGCAAGGCAGTCCTGCCGCATGTCGTCA